GCTGAGCTGGACAGATCGCCTGAGCTCAGGAGTTCGAGACCAGCCTAAGCAACATGACAAAGGCTCATCACTACAAAAAAAAAAAAATAGAAAAATTAGCTGGGCATGGTGGGATGTACCTATAGTCACAGCTACTCAGGAGGCTGAGGTGGGAGGATCACTTGAGCCTAGGAGGCCAAGGCTGCAGTGAGCTGTGATACCACCACTGCACTCCAGTCTGTGTGACAGAGTGAGACCCTGTCTCAATTTTTAAATATACAATATAAAAAAGTACAAATGTATCAGTCTAATTCATTACATTAACAGATTAATAGGAAAATGCTGTAATCATCAAAATAGATGCACTGTTTGATAAAACTCAACATATATTCAAAATGAATCAGCAAAGTAGAACAGAATGGAATGACTTACTCCAATAGAGTCCATCTACAAAAAAAAGTACAGTAAATACTATGGTGAAATGTTGAAATGTTTCCATTTCTCATCAGGGTTAAGACAAGGATGTCCACTATCACCATTGTACCAGGTGGGTCTGCCCAATGCCATAAAATCAGAAAAGGAAATGAAAAGTGTTCAAAATGGCAGCAATGTGCCCAGTGCAGTGGCACATGCCTGTAATCCAAGCACTTTGGGAGGCTGAGGGGGGTGGATCACTTGCACTCAATAGTTCAAAAAGAGCCTGGAAAATATAACAAAACCAGGTCTCCACAAAAAGTACAAAAGGAAATTTAAAAAATGGCAGAAACAAAATTGTTCATATTCAAAGATTATATCATTCTGTATGTTGAATACTGAAAACAATCTCAAAGTAAACTTTAAGAATTCATAAGCATATTTAACAAGGTTGCTGGATACAAAATCAATATATAAGAATTATCTCTCTACATACCAGTTCAAACAGGATATAAAATTTCAAAGAATGATACATATTTCACAGCATCAAATACCTAGAAATAAAATCATAAAAGATGCATAAGACTTCTTTGCAGAAGGCTATAAAGCTTTATTGAGAGAACTTAAATGAACAAATTTCCAACATGGGAGCAGCCTGCATCATTTCAGTGTATCTTCTTTTAACACTGTGATTGCCCTTCACCTGAAACAGAAACATAACAGTTGGGAACATGACTTAGCAACAGATTATTTAGATGACCCAAAAGGCAAACAAAGGACACTACAGCTTGGGTTTTATAAAATGCACTAAAAACAGAACCCTATGGGTGATTCTGCATCTTACATCCAATTACAACTCTGTATAGACTAAGCGTAGACACATGGAATTTAAAGGTTAATTTCTTCCTAAACATCAAGTGCTTCCTTTAAATTCAGAAGCACTTATAATTAAGTCAGCAATCTGGAAAACACGTATGTAAAACATACTTCAGTTGATTACTCAGGAAGTACTAACATCATGGTCTTTGAAGTTCAAATCTTATTAACTCATGTCTCAAAAGGTGAAACTTACATGTAATATATGATATGATTAGAGATGATTATATCCTACATGTATCTACAGGTCTTATTAGAAATAGTGGCTCATGAAAACTGACAGTGCAGCAGGGAGCATGCTTCGCACAGGCATCTTACTTACACCGATCCTGAGCATCAATGACCTACATCCCACAGAAAATAGAAACTAAATAGTCTCTTGCCATTTCATAATCAGTCACTCAAGGTTTCTGTGGGGAAAGATTTAAAAATCAATTATTCATTAAGAGTCAGAGAATCCCAGCCTGGGCAACATAGTGACACCTCATCTCTACAAAAAAAATTTTCAAAAAAAGAAAAAAAAATTAGTCAGGCATGGTGGCTTATGTTTCTAGTTCCAGCCACTCAAGGGGCTGAGGTGGGAGTATTAATTGAGCCTGAAAGGCAGAGATTACAGTGAGCTGAAATCGTACCACTGCACTCCAGCATGGGTTACAGAGTAAAATTGTGTCTCAAAAACAAACAAACAAAAAATCAAGAGAATTCAGAATTATACAGAATCTAAGAGTAGGCATTCAGGTCTCAACACAGAAAAAAAAACATGAAGCAGGGTGCCCACTAACTTTCTTAATAGCAATGAAATCTCAATTCACATGTTTTAAGATGAGTCAGATCAGGGTTTGATGATTTAGGATAAACAAATCATGCACAGCAGATGATCTCTGTATCCTACGTATTCTACCCAACAGGATCAGAGTATGAAAAAACCAGAATGGAAAATATCAAAATATCTTACTTAAACTCATTATTTTTAAGACCAAAATAAAGCTTTAGAACTTAAAGGATTCACCCAGAATCTCACAAATGTTGTAAGAGCTGGTATTAGAACCTATATCAGTGCTCCAGCATACTTCAAAGAAACTGATGTGTGTTACAAATGTGTTATGTATTTGTCAAAAGCAGACCTTTACAAAAGCATCCAAAAATTATAAGCTATTGATTTAAGGACTTATTCTCAAAAGCTGTAACTTCATAGGGCTTTGACTCAGTTTGTTTCTATATGACAGTCTATAAGTCAGTTGCTGGGGCCTGAACTACATTTCAAATAAACTTTATGGAAGAACTGTATTACTGGCCAGACACAGTGGCTTATGCCTGTAATACTTGGGCTCTGGAAGCCCGAGGTGGATGGAATACCTGAGGTCAGAAGTTCAACATCTGCCTGAAAAATATGCTGAAACCCCTGTCTCTACCTAAAATACAAAAATTAGCAAGGCGTGGTGGTGTGTGCCTGCAGTCCCAGCTACTCTGGAGGCTGAGACAGAAGAATTGCTTGAGCCTGTGAGGTGTGACTGCAGTGACCTCCAAGATCAGGCAACTGTACTCCAGGCTGGGTGATAGAATGAGACTCTGTCTCAAAAGAGAGAGAGAGAGAGAGAGAGAGAGAGAGAGAGAGAGAGAGAACTCTTA